TTCGCCAACGAGTGCCCGGCCGAGCTGGTGAGCTACAACAAACGGTTCCTGTCCCGCGTCTACCCCAGCCCCATGCGCATCGACGCCAGCAACATGAACCCGCAGGACTTCTGGAAGTGCGGCTGCCAGATGGTGGCCATGAACTACCAGACGCCGGGGCTCATGATGGACCTGAACGCGGGCTGGTTCCGGCAGAACGGCGCCTGCGGCTACGTCCTGCGCCCCGCCATCATGCGGGAGGAGGTCTCCTACTTCAGTGCCAATGCCAAGGACTCCTTGCCCGGGGTGCCCGCGCAGCTCCTCCACCTCAAGGTCATCAGCGGGCAGAACCTGCCCAAGCCCAAGGGCTCGGGGGCCAAGGGGGAGGTGGTGGAGCCCTACGTCTGCGCTGAGATCCACGGCATCCCGGCCGACTGCGCCGAGCACCGCACCAAGACGGCCCTGCAGAGCGGGGACAACCCCATCTTTGACGAGAGCCTGGAGTTCCAGATCAACCTGCCCGAGCTGGCTGTCCTGCGCTTCGTCGTGCTGGATGATGACTACATCGGGGATGAGTTCATCGCCCAGTACACCATCCCCTTCGAGTGCCTGCAGCCCGGCTACCGCCACGTCCCACTCCAGTCCCTCGCGGGGGAGCCTCTGCCCCACGCCACCCTCTTCGTGCACGTGGCCATCACCGACCGCCGCGGCGGGGGCAAGGGGCACCGGCGGGGGCTGTCGGGGCGCCGGGGCCGCCGGGTGCGGGAGTACACGTCCACCAAGGCCACCGGCATCAAGGCCATCGACGAGGTCTTCCGGACGGCGACGCAGCCCCTGCGGGAGGCCACCGACCTGCGGGAGAACGTGCAGGTATGGACCACGCAGGGGCACTGGGGACCTAGGGGAGGATGGGGCTGGCCTGTGAGCAGTGGGGAGCATCCCCTTCTTCCTGGGGGAGTCAGGTGAGGGGCCTCATCTGGAGCAGAGGGCTGGGAGAATGGGGACATTCCCTCCCTGGCAGAGCCCCTGACGCTGGTCTCTACCCGCAGAATGCCCTGGTCTCCTTCAAGGAGCTGTGTGGTCTGACGCCTGCCGCCAACATGAAGCAGTGCATCCTGACGGTGGCCGCGTGGCTGCTGCACAGTGACAGCTCGCCCAGTGTCACCCTCAACCTGGCAGAGAAGTACCCCCCTATGGAGGCCCAGGGCCCCATCCCGGACCTGCTGCGCAAGGTCCTCACCGCCTACGAGACGGTAAGTGCCGTGTCCCACCGGGGCTCGACTCCTTATGGGGATGCTTCGCAGGGCCAGGGGCACCAGGACAACCAGGACAGGGCACCCTGACTCCCTGCACCCATCGCGGTGCACAGGGAGGCTGCTGGGGGCTGCCCATGGAGGACCCTTGTCAAGGAGCAGGTTGATACAGCTCAGTCTGAGCCCTGGGACCCAGCAGCCCCCGTCCCCTGCACTGTGTGCCAGGGCTGCTCATAGGGAGTCCTCCGGTCCTGCCTGGTGGGAGAAACCCCATTAACAGCCAGAGCAGCTTCCTTCCTTTGTGTTGGAGGGGCCCTGCTCCAGCCCAGGGTCACCCTGTGCACAGCTGGGTGAGGAGAGACAGACCCCAAGCACCCCACTGAGGCAAGGGGCAGCCCCTGCCCGAGCCCCTTCTCCCCACCCGCTCTGCCCAGCTCCTCACAGCACCCCTCTCCCCAGATGATCCAGACCAGCCGGACACTGATCGAGTCGGCCGATGCGGTGTACAGCAAGCTCATCCAGGCACAGCAGGCAGGTGGGTCCCGGGGCACCTCTAACCCTGGTGCTGCTCCGTGCCACAGACCTGGGCACATCCCGGAGGGGCTCCCTGCAGGGCTCGGTTCAGTGGGTCCGGCACCAAGATCTGGACCTGGGCACAGGCATGGGAGAGGGACTCCTGGCTCTGGTGGTCCTGAGCCTGCCTCTGGTGTGGTTGTGGGAGCCTGCACGGTGCTGGGTGCCATCGGGGTGCTTGGGGCCACGCCGGGGCAGGGTGCTGAGTGGGTGGGCTGCAGGGGCTGTGCGGGAGGGAGCGGGGAGAGGGAGGCGAGCGGAGGAGGCTGATGAGGAAGCGGGGAAGAGTCATTATCTGCCAACCGCCGCAATATAATTAGCACCAGAAAGAACAGACCGGGGCTGATGGCAGGAGCGGCAACCGGGTGCTAGGACTCCCAAAACACGTGGCTGAACCCACACAGGCAGGTGCCGCCGCTGCCTGCCCCGGCTCCCCCCCCCCCGGCCTGCCCGGGCCCCCCCAAGCCGGTCCCAGCCTTGCTGCCGGCAGCTCTGGTTGTTCCCTGCCAGAAACCATCCCGAGCTCTTGGCTTTGGGCTCTGCCGCCGCTGCCAGCGCTGGGGGGGAGCAGTCGGGGGGGGGGCACGGGCTTGGTGCGCGGCCGGGTGGGCTCCTGTGGCGATGGGGCAGGGAGCGCTTTGGGGGCTGCAGCCCCATCCCCGTGCCCAGGCGCTGCCTGCCCCCCCCTTGCACCCCTGCAGTGCCCGGTGCCGGGTGCGGTGCGGTGCGGGAGGGGGGGGTGAGTGACAGCCCGTGGGTGAACGGGCTGCGTGGGAGCCTCGCGTGGGCCCGGAGCCGGTGCTGCGTCAGGACGGTGAATGCGGCACCGCTCACGGGGACGTCACGCGGAGCACGGCGGGGGCAGCCCCGCACCGAGCCCCCCGGGGGGGAGCCGCAGCGTGGAGGGGCCGGAACCCGGAACCAAACGGGGCTGGGACCGAGCGCGGTGCCGAGGGGATGGCTCCGGCAGCCGTGGGAGCGAGCCGATGGGGAGCCGCCGTCCTGCATCCCTGAGCCGGGAGAAGGGAGTCCCCGTCCCCGCTCAGCACCGCTCCCGTGTGCGCAGGAATGGACTTCCACAAGGAGCTGCACCGCATCGAGGCCAAGGAGGGGCTGCGGGGCCGCAAGCTGCAGAAGGCGCTGGAGAGCTTCGCTTGGAACATCACAGTGCTGAAGGTGAGGGGCCAGGGCTGCGCGGCCCCCGCCCGGCTCACCCGAACCCCGAGGATGCTCCGGGAGCGATGGCGATGGCACGGACCCGCTCAGGGGGTCCAGGCGGCCCCGCTCATAGGGGGTGGCTGATGGAGCACCCCACGCTCCGCAGCAGGGGGTCCGGGGAGCCCGAGTGGGGCAGCCCCGATGACGGCGTCTCCCCGGCAGGGCCAGGCTGACCTCCTCAAGCACGCCAAGGCCGAGGCGCTGGACAACCTGTGGCAGATCCACAACGCGGGACAGTCCTGCGGCATCGGCAGGAACGGCTCGGCCTCACCGGAGCCCTCCCGGCTGCGCGCCCCGTTGGAGCCCATCCCGGAGACAGAAGGAGGCGGTGAAGCGGCGTCCTGCTGACCCCGGCCTGGGGCTCGGGGGCCCGGACTGAGCACTCCCTGGCTGCAGGGACAAGGACCAGGGAGCCCCATCCTGCCCGTAGACAGGCAGCTGCGTGCCTGCAGGCTCTGTGAGCGAAGGGACGCGTGTGGGGCTGTGCTCTGCCGTGCCGAAGGGCTGCGGTGGGGCCAAGGGGGAGGCTGGGGACGGATGAGCCTGCTCCAGCTCTCTCCCTGGCCTGAGCTCCCGGGGCCTCCATCTGCTTCCAGAGCGAGTGCCCTCCCGCAGGGCCGGCGGGGATGCTGGCACCCCTGTGTGTGTGGACCCCCAGTCTGCCGTGCCAGACCCCTCTTGTGTTACAGCCCGGGGCTGGGCTTCTGCCCCCTGCAGGGCCATGGGGTTTGCCTTCACCACCCCAAAGATGGGTCCAGGCAGGAGTTGTGGCTTCTGGCATCAGGGAAACATCAGGGCTTATTCCCTAGGGAGAGGGGGTCCTGGCACAAGCACTGTGCAGGGGGTGGTCTGGGGTCGGACTGGGGCTGTGGAGCATTATAAAGAGTGTGAGACCCACCAAGGTGCCCTGCTGCTAGCTCCGGGTGCCTGGCGCAGGGCTGAGGTGGGATGGGGTTACTGAGGGGGATGAAGGGTGGCACCATTGCTCCCCATCCCCAGCCATGCTCGGAGTGACGACTCCCCACGTCAAGGAGCCGTGCGGCTGCTCGGCACCCATTTGTTCAGGAAGCTAATTAGCCTAATGGGGACCCAGGGAACAGACCCTTGTGCTGCTGCTGTCAGGAGCAGCCCAGCGCTGCCCTTCGGCCGCTTTGTGCCTGCCCGGCCATGGGGCCCATGGGCAATTATGGCCTCATTAGTGCCAGGCGTCCCGGCAGCGCCATGGCCCCTGAGCACCCGCACAATGAGGAGCTGCAAATGAGGGGAAAGGCCTGGCCGGTCTCCGGGCTACGGGCCCGTGTCTCCCAGAGACCGGCCGCAGCCGCCTGGCCCCGCCGGTATTTTTGGCATCACTATTGTGCCGGGGCCTATAAAGCGGCAGCTGTGGCGGTGGCACAGGGTGCTGTGCTCCCGGCTGCCCAGCGGGACATGCCCAAGCGCTGCTCAGCCGCCTGAAGACCCCAGGAAGGATGGAGGTGCACAACACCAAGGTGGGGTGGGGTGTTGCAGCCTATGGGACCAGGAGGGCAGCGATGGGGGGGAGGTTGGGATGTGGGGCTGGGGGTGTGAGGGGCCTGGGCAATTTCTCGGGAAGCTGGGAGCTCAAGGCTCCACGCCAGGGCTCCCCAGCTGTGGCCAGTGGCCACTTGGGGGGCTCAGCCCTGCTTGGGCTCCTCAGGAGGGAGCTGGACGCGTGGTGCCTGTGGTGCCAAGTGTGGGTGCTCTGGCACTCGGCAGCAAGGGGAGGGTGTTGGCTGTGGCTGCCTTGTGCTGGTGAGGGCACCCACATCAGGCTGCTGGTCACAGCGTGGTTGGGGTCCATGGGTGCTGGGGCTGGGGGTTGGATTGTGCTGCCGTGCACTGGGAGTGGGGTTGGGACCCTGCAGCAGCATCACAGTGACCAGGGCAGACAGGGCTGACACCGGTGGGCACGGCACGCTGCCCGGTGGTGCTGCTGCTGCCCTGCGCTAACGCTGCCCATTGCTCCAGCAGCTCCAGAGAGCTGCCTGCCTCTTGTTCCTGCTCCTGCTCTGCTCCCTGGCTGCTGCCCGGCAGAGTCTGCCCGAGTGCTGCCGGCAGAAGACCTGCTCCTGCCACATCTATGACCTCCTGCACGGCATGGGCAACCATGCCGCCGGCATCCTCACGCTGGGCAAGAGGAAGAGTGGCCCCCCGGCATTCCAGAGCCGGCTCTACCGCCTGCTGCACAGCTCCGGCAACCACGCCGCGGGCATCCTCACCATGGGCAAGCGTGGGGAGCGCCCTGGCACCACCTGCCACGACGCATCGGGCTGCCCCATGGGTGCAGGCACTGACACCAGCCCCGCCAGCCCCAGGGACCAGTGCCAGGGGAAGGACCTGACCAAGAGCCAAGCCCAGAGAGCTGCTAAGAGCTTTTATTGAGAGGGGTCGGGGCAGCAGGAACAGAGTGAGGACCCATAGTGGGGCAGACCCAGGGACACACACCTGGAGCTCGGTGTAAATAGCACTTTGACATACCTCCTCCTGGCCTGGCCCAGCCTGCTCAGGGCGCTGCAGGCACCGCCGGCCTTTTACAATAAATGATAGCCCGATGTTACCTGGCTCTGCCTTCTCTCTGGGGAGGGTTACGTGGGGCTGGGTCCCAGCACGGCCAGAACTGGAGTGAACAGAGCCAGGACCCGGCTGGCTGGGAGCTGAGGGGTGTTTGTGAAGCCCCCATAAGGGCTCGGAGCATCCCCATCACAGCACCAGGGAGCCTCGTGGGCACCCGCGCCTGGTCCCCACCACCCCGGCCCTGCGCAGGGGCCTGGGGAGGCTCCGGCTGGGTCCTGTCACCGCCGGGTGCCCCTCAGGGCACGGCCTTGCCCTGCAGCCCCCGGGCTCGGCCGTAAGCAGCGGGGGTGATGCTGGTGCCTCCGGTCCTGCCCCTTTCGCAGCCTCCGTGGGCCCGGCGGGGCCGGTGCCTCCCGGTGCTTCCCGGTGCGGCGGCGCAGGTCAGAGCCACCTGCCCGCGGGCGGGTGCCGGTGCCGAGGCCCCTCCCGGTGCCGGCGGCGCGCAGAGCCCGGGGCGGGGCGGGGGCGGAGCGGGAGCCCCGGGCCGGGCCGAGCCGAGATCAACCCGCGGAGCCGGGACCGCACCTGCGGAGGGGCCCGGGGGGGGCAGCGGAACCCGATCCTGCGGCCGCAGCCCCGAGGGACCATGCCGGTGATGAAGGGGCTGCTGGCGCCGCAGAACACGTTCCTGGACACCATCGCCACCCGCTTCGATGGCACACGTAGGGCCGGGGAGGCGCGGAGCGGGCGGGGGGAGAAGGCGCTGCCCCCGGGGAGGGACGGGGCTCGGGGGGTCGCGGCCGGCCCTGCGCTCTGCACTGTCCCGGGGAGCCCGTGTCCGTTGCTCCGGTACCCCCCGGTGTCCGTGCTCGGTGCTCCGGGCCCCCTGCATCCGTGCTCTGTGCTTCGGGACACCCCGGTGTCCGTGCTCTGTGCTTCGGGACACCCCGGTGTCCGTGCTCTGTGCTTCGGGACCCCCCCGGTGTCCGTGCTCGGTGCTCCGGGACCCGCCGCACCTCGGGCAGTCCCCGGTGCTCTCCTCGCTGCCGGTCCCGTGGCCGCGCTCAGCACCAGGGACAGAGGCCGGGCTCGACGGGAGGGACCGTACGGGACCCCGGGGCGGGGCGGGGGGGGGGGTCCCCGGCGTGGTCGTTGCTGGTCCCGGCCCACCCCGACTGCCCCGGACCCCCCCTGAACCCCGCTTTGCTGTGGGGTTCGTGGGTTCTGGCTGACCCCGCGGGGACCGGGAGTCGGGGTTTTGCCCCCTGGCTTCCCAGAGCTGTAGGGCTGCCATGGGGCACAGCCCGTGGCTGTCACCTCTGCGACACACGGCGGGGTCCTGGGGGACCCCCAGTGCTGCACAGGCTGCCACCCCATTAGCAACGCACCCGCTGGTTTGGGGTTATGTCCCTGGAAATGTGGGTGCCAGGGGGCTGTGTTTTTGGGGGGACATCATCCCTTTTGGGGTCACTTCGCACGGCTGGAGGTGCTGTTGGTGCACCCCCAGAGCTGGGCTCCCCTCTGCATCCATGTCCATGTGCTGTGGCCAGGATGGATTAAACCCCTGGCATGCTGTGGAGGGGATCATGCCAGCGTGCCACGTGCCAGCTCCCGGCACCGCTGCCACCATGCAGTCACCCGGGGACAGGCCATGTTCAGGGCTGACCCCAGGCTTTCCCCGTATCTCTTGGAGCAGGGGTATCCTGGACCAACCGCCTGCAGGGCTGGACATGTCCCACCTCGCTGGGAGGGACCAGTATGAGCATGGCACCGGAGCCTGTATTCCCCTCCCACAGCATTGGAGATCCAGGAGCAGCCCTGGGACATGTTTTGCCTGGCTCCCGGCCCGGCGTGATGTGGAGCATCCCAGACGACACAGGCTGTCATTTGCCTTTAGGAGCTCTCATTTGGGATGTTCCCTTTGAGACCGCAATGAGAGGCAGCAGCCCCTGAACCTTCCCCAGCTGTGCCCAGAGGTGCCAGGGTAGAGCCACATCTGCCTTGTGCTGGTGATGCTGTGAGTGTATCTCCGCAGGGCTGAGGCTTCCCAGGGCTGGATCTGTCTCTCTGAGGAGCAGGGTCCCCAGGGGAGCTGCCTGCAGCACCCCAACCAATGCAAAGCCCTGGGAATCTGCCCCGGGGAGATGGGATTTGCCCCAGGCAGCATCCCCATCTGGCTGCCACCTTCCAGGCACTTTTAAACAGCGTCAGGCTTTGCTGGTTTGATGTGACTCTTATCGGCTTTATCTGCCATGGAGAGGGGCTTTAGCCAGTGATACCCGGGTGAGTTAACCCTGCCTCTCCCAGGCCCGCTGGGCCTGAGGGTACCCATCTGTGTGTGCTGGTCACTGTGAGAGGGGGGCTGCTGAGCCCCCCAGTGCCGCATCCCCCTGCTAGGCAGAGCCACTCCCAAATGCAAGCCCTTTTTTTCCTTTTCTAATAACACATCCTGGACAACGCCGTAATCCTGGTTCCCCAGAGCCAAAATCTGGCCTTAGTCACAGCTTCAAGCTATTTTTGCTTCCCCAAGCTAATCCTGGTCTGAGCTGTGCTGTGGTGGCCCCCCTGCACCCCTGTGGCATCAGGGCTGCCTGCGGCTGCATCCACCCCTTCCGCAGCCTCCTCTGCCCCTGCCCTGCCATATGCATGCCATGCACTTCCAGGGGCTCTCTCCTTCACTGTGACAGGGGTCAGACCACGTCTGCCTGCTCCTGGTGCCTGTGCTGTGGGGATGCTGGTGCCTGTGGGGATGCTGGTGCCTGCAGGGATGCTGGTGCCTGCAGGGATGCTGGGCTGAGGACCCATGAGCTGGAGACTGTACTGGGTCTGGAGACACCCTGGTCTGCCATTCTGGGTGCAGGTGTAGTCCATGCCGGCCATACACCCCGCTTCCCTCGCACCCTTTTAGCATGAGGCCACCTTCCCTTGCAGGCCAAGGTCACCCAGCATGGGCCATGGACTCACCCCAGGTTCTGGGTTTCTCTGCCCCACTCTTGGTGGGCTGGAGGTCGCAGCACCACAGCCCAGTGCCCCAGGGCTGCCAGTGCCCAGCTGGGTTTGCCACAGCTCCTGCTAAGCTGCCGGAGCCCTGGAGGGAGGTGGGAGCAGCAGATGGTGAGGGGGAGGCAGGAATCACCTGGCAATGGGAGCCTGGAGCTGGATCTGGGCTCCAGGACCCCAGTGCATGGGGCTGGGGCAGGCTCCAGAGGCCACAAGGCAGGGAGCAAGTGAGCTCCGGGTGCAGCCAGCAGCCAGCCACAGACCTGGCTCCACTTCCCAGAGGGCCCCATGGGGGTCCGAGAGGGCTGAGCTGCCCTTTGTGCCCCCAGGGTGGCCGCGGGCCCTCAGGGGCAGCTGCTTCTCCTTGCAGACAGCAACTTCATCCTGGCCAACGCGCAGGTCCGCTGCGGCTTCCCCATCGTCTACTGCTCCGACGGCTTCTGCGACCTCACCGGCTTCGCCCGCACCGAGGTCATGCAGAAGAACTGCAGCTGCCGGTTCCTGTACGGGGCCGAGACCAGCGAGCCCGTGCTGCAGCGCATCGAGAAGGTGCTGGACGGCAGGCAGGAGTACCAGACCGAGGTCTGCTTCTACAAGAAGGGTGGTGAGTGGTGCACGGCACTGGGACCCTGCCCGCGGCTCCCGATGGACGTGTCCCCAGGGTGAAGCCGCTGAGGGGCAGAGGGGACGTCCTGCCTTCAGCACCCCTCTTGTCCACGCAGGAGCTGCCTTCTGGTGCCTGCTGGACATCATGCCCATCAAGAACGAGAAGGGGGAGGTGGTGCTCTTCCTCTTCTCCTTCAAGGACATCACCGAGAGCCGGGGCAGGAGCCACGGGGGGGACAAGAAGGAGGGTGAGCCGTGGATGGGATGTGCACGGTGGGCAAGCGACAAAGGGGCTCCCAATTCCCTGCTGGGTCCTGCCTGCCTCTGGTCAGCCGTGCAGGGAGGGGACCCAAAGCAGCCCCTGCCCTGCTGCACCAGCAGTGCCGCAGCCACTAAACCCAGCGTGTCTTGTGTGCTGCAGACAAGCAGAGGAGCAAGAGGCCCGGGAGCTCTCACCTGCGGGCAGCACGCAGGCAGGGCCGGACCGTGCTGCACCGACTCAGCAGCCAGTTTGCCCGGAGGGACCGCAGCGAGATGAAAATCAACCGTGTAAGGACCTGGGGGAAGCCCTCCGCTTCACGCGGTGCCTCCGGGGCAGGCTGGGGATGCTGCAGCATCCCTGGGACCAGCCTGTTCCCATGCGTGCCCCTCGCTGGCCTCCCCAGCACCCAGATGCCGACCACGTCCAGCAGCCACCCTCGCTCCAGGCTGCAAATGGGGTTCGTTGGCATCGGCTGGGAGGGGAGCGCGGAGCCTGCGGCAGCTCCCGCAGGGCCCTGCCTCTCCTCACACGGTTGCTGTCGGGAAGCGCAGCCGCTCGCTCACAGCATGGCCCCGGGGGGGGGGGCACCGTTACCAGGCTGCGGGGCCCCAGTGCGGGGCTCCCGCTGTCCCCAGCGGCACCGTGTCCCTGTGGGGCACGGGGGGGGGGTCTGCCCCAGCATCTGAATTGGCACCTGGGATGCTCTGGGCAGCAGCTGGCGGTGCTGGTGGATTATTGTTAATAGCATTAGCCTCACGCTCCTGTATACACCATAACCGGGTGTTCTGTGCCCATCTTTGAGGGTGACCTCAGAGCAGCCCATGTGCCCCGTTGGAGAGCTGTGTCCATCACCCTGGCATCAGGAACGGGGGGACACCGCGGTGACCTCTACTCCTTGTGCACCACCATGTGCCACCCTGCCCCTTGCTCCCTCAGAACGTGTTTGAGAACAAGCTGTCCATCCCCGAGTACAAAGTGGCCGCAGTGCAGAAGTCTCGCT